CTAAAATTATGTTTTTTTAAGCATTCATGTTTTAGATAAATCCCATGTTCTAGAACATGCTCTACAGAATATGGGGGGTGGGGGCAGAGATGAAGAAATCTCGTTTTATTTTATTGTAAAGGCAGCATAACCCTAACATTAAAATCTGAAAAATAAATTACAGAAAAATTAGAGATCAGTTTAATTTATTGAGATGCTAATACCTATACTGTCAATAGGTGCTAAAATACTTGCTACAACCTCACTTCTGTTTAAAAATGTAGTAGTTAAGTGGTAACCCCCCCAAAGATATGTCCACATCGTATTCCTTGAAACTTGCGAATGTGACCTTATTTGGAAAAAAAAAGATCTTTGTAAGATGTAATCAAATTGAGGACTTCAGGATGAGATTATCTGGACTACTTGAGTGGGCCCTAAGTCCAATGACAAGTGTCCTTATAAGAGACCCCCAGGCTCAAGAGCAGGAAGCAACATGACCAGAGAGGCAGACACTGGGGTAACACAGCCACAAGCCAAAGATGGCTGGAGCCGCAGGATGTTGGGGTCTCCCTCACTCGAGAGGACCTAAACTGACACCTCGATTTTGGAATATTGGCCTCCAGGTTATAAAAGAATACATTTCTGTTGTTTTAAGCCATCTGTTTACAAAAATTTTTATATCAGCCTCAGGAAACTAATAAAAAAACCCCTCTTATTAAAGTATTAATAGATGTATACTTCTTTATTATAATAAAGAGTATTACCTGTCAATGTTGGACATTCTAAGTGCTCAGAAAATGACTGCTTATTAACCTGGATAGAGCATGGGTCTGATTGTGGAATCTCCTGGGCCACTCATGAGCCATTGGACAAGTTCATTACTAAGTAAACATCAATTAAGCACATGATAAATAGCACTATTATATACACACTGACGCACACACACAGACATGGTACCTGGGACATGCTGCTTGGCATCTGGGAGCTTCTTATTTCTTTAAATTATTCAGTAAGACAAGCACTATTGTAACAAAATAGTGCTAACGGCCAACAAGAAAAGGTTAAACCAAAGTGTTTTTTTTTTCTTTTATATGATTTAAAGAGAAATACGAGGATACTTTATAAAGTTCATGGAAAAGTAGAATTCAAAGATAATATGAATCTTTTTATGAACTTTTTGAAAACCGCTCATAATATCAATGGAAAAAGAGTTATGATTACAAAACAGCTGAACTCCAAAAAAGAAAAACAGCATAAGGACCTTTTGTACTAACTATGAATGGAAACATATTTTCCCAAATATTGTATTTAAAAGCTGTGAAAACCCAGAGTGAAGGGACAGGGCCTGCCCCCAGATGTCCCTGTCAGTGTGGTCTACGTACGACTTGGTGACACACAGGAGAATGAGTTTCTAGAATTCTTGGTGGGTGGATCTGAGAGGTGCTGTCCTCAGCTTGTCTGTTTTATATGAAGAGTTGCTGGAAATGGGTCAGAGCATGCATGTCTGAGTTGGTGAAAGTCCTGGGTTCTGGCACCCATAGTGGAAGCCCCCCTCTACCATGTGGGAACCAGATGCCCCCAAAAGTGGGGCTGACAGACATCTTTCCCCCGTTCCCAAACAGGTCTCTCACAGACAGTGAAATGAATGTCCCATTGACCTGTGTGAGGGTGCTCTGGAAAATGGCCCTTTTCCATTTCCCTGCCTCTCCATCAGCTATCCCAAGGTCAGAAACAAGCTCAGTGACAGGTGAAAGTACCTCTTTGAGCATAAGATCTAGTCCATGTGGCCTAGTCTGAGGAGCTGGTTCGTTAGGCTGAGGAGAAGGTATGGGGACTTTCTTAGTCCATTGTGTGATGCTAAAACAGAATACCTTGGACTAGATAACTTATAAAGAACAGGAATTTATTTTCTTATAGTTCCAGAGGCTGGGAAGTCCAAGAGTTTTTCTTTAAAGGCTCCGGCAGGTTCAGTTGTCTGGTGAGGTCTGATCTCTGCTTCCAAGATGGCACCTTGTTTCTGTGTCCTCCAGAAGGCACTAAGGCTGTGTCCTCACATGGCTGAAGGTGGAAAGACAAGTGAGCCAGACACTGGAGCCTCTTTTATAAGGGTCCTAAACCCATTCTCAAGGAAGGAGCTCTTGCAGCCTAACTGCCTCTTAAAAGCACCTCCCTATACCACCACACTGGCCATTAAGTTTCAACACCTGAATTTTGGGGGGGACACATTCAAACCATGGCAGGGACTGACCCTTTTGTTCTCCTGCCCGTTACTGAAATGATGCTGCTGCCCTGCCTCAAGCCTTTCTGTACTGATTAGATTTAAGGGTGGTTAGCAAGAGGTAAATGGCTGTGGAAGTTAAGGAAAAAAAGTTGTCTGATAAACTTGAGATAAAAAGAATCCCCATTGAATTCAATTTGTGCTTTTTAATTGGAGGAAATTCATGCAGTCCCAGTTAGCATGACTTTTTTTTGGTTATGTATAGGACTGTGTTTTCTAGAAAGTTAACTTAATTTGATTAATAAAATCATGACATGTCCATCTTTGTACTTCCTATTCAGCTATTCATAAATACAGTCTTTTTTTTTTTTTAATGCATTAGGCAATATGCCAGAAACACGAAAATACCAGTACACGGTCCAAGTGAGGAGACAGACACTGGCAACTGACATGTCTTTCTGTGTATGAAAAACTATGCTCCTGCATTGCTCTGTTTCCCTGTTAAGATTAGATAAGTGGAGATTCCCACAAAAAATGCAGGGGACACAAAGGTTACTTTCAGCATGTGGCTTGATTATGAATAGCCTCCCTACAGAGTAATAAGTATGCAGAGATGAAGGTGATATAAATCATGTCCACCAGACTTTCCAGTTTGTAAGGCTGTTCTAGGTGTGCCATCTCACGTGTTTGAGCTAAGTGCTAGCTATCTCTGTTTTATGCTGTGGGGTTCTCCTTCCAGATCCTGGGGTCTGGGAGAAACCCTGTCATGGTCGTTACCACATTCAGACCCTTCCCCATCTACAGGAACAAGTTGAGGGTAAGGAAGGTGCTATGTTTTACCATCTTTGTACCATCAGGGGCACAGATGGATAAGTGGTATTTGGGCATTAATTTGCAAAGCTAGAGGCCCCGGCTCCTAGCCGCAAAGAATTTTTGCTTCTCTTGAGTGGTTTCCATAGCAGTGTATTTCTCCCAGCAGCGTACACTCTGGGAGAGCGAGAACAAGGAATTTGGGAGATGGCACTATTTGTTTCATCTCAAAGAACCTTTCGACAGTAGGTGTGTGCTCTTTGTGACATCTGAGGGTCATGATATTTCTATATCAACTCGAGAGCTTCATTTAAAATGCTGCCAAAAATAACATCTCTTTCAACATTGGACATCTTGAAAAAGAATAGACAGCTATTATAAAACTTTTAATCCATTGTTTCTAAAATTTCACATGATAAAATACTCCTTGTGAGTAAATTTATTGATGACTTTTTGCCAAGAATACAAAGACTTGAATTTTCCACTTACCCAGTGGAAAGATGTGCGTGCTCCTTCTTTCATTCAACAAGCACTTACCAAGCATGAGCTACGTGCCAGTGCTGTGCTCACCATTGGAGATACACAGCCCTAAGACACTGTCCTCAAAGACACTGACCAGCAAGAGGGGTGGCATGAGATTTTTAAAAAAGGATGAAGGCAACGTGGGAGTTCTTTGATTAGGCCTGACCGGTATCTGTGGAGTACTGAGAGGGAGCTCAGAGGTGGGGGGGACTCACTCCTCGGTCTGAGTGGAGAATCCAAGGGAAAAGAGACGAGCATGTATTAGATTTGTGATATCAGCCAGGGACCGCACTGTGCTGGCTGGATAATCTGCATAGCCTCACACCTTGCAAGTATGCTTGTGCGTATAGCCTTTAATAATTCAGCAATTCTGGGAGGTAGTAAGCACTACTTTCATTTTACAATTTCATGTTACCTATATTTTGCCACAATAAAAATTAAAAAAAAAATTCTCAGGGCATGGTTACCTTTCCAAATTTCCCCTTATCATTCCCATTCCAAAACCAAAGAATTCCAAAGCCAACAAATTCCTCTACCCGCTCTCTCCTAAAAATATATACAGTGTTAAGACTGTGTATTTTAAACA